GAACGCGAGGTTCGTCTGAAGAACGAACGCGAGGTTCGTTAAAAAAATTGAGCTTGACGCTCACCTGAGTTGAACGCGAGGTTCACCTTAGAACGAACGCGAGGTTCGTTAAAATTGAGCTTGACGCTCACCTGAGTTGAACGCGAGGTTCACCTTAGAACGAACGCGAGGTTCGTTAAAATTGAGCTTGACGCTCACCTGAGTTGAACGCGAGGTTCACCTTAGAACGAACGCGAGGTTCGTTGAGCGCGAAGCTCGGTTAAAATTGAACGAACGCGAGGTTCGTTTGAGGTAACCACCTCCTTAATTTTCGCCATGAACCCTTAGGGTTTCAAATTGAAACCGCCGCCGCACGTTTCACGCACGAACCCTTAGGGTTTCAAATTGAAACCGCCGCCGACAAACCCAAAAAAACCTTTGATTTTTATTTTCAAAATAGATCCAGAATTGGAAAGAATTGAAGAAAAAATCAAAGAAAAATCCAAAAAATTCCAAAAAGTTATTGTTCATCCGAAAAACTTTTCGTTACTGTTCATCCGAACAAAAAATTTTACTGTTCATCCGAACCCCAAAAAAATTACTGTTCATCCGAACCCAAAAAAAATTGAATCTTTAACCAGAGATTTAAGATCAAAAACCCAATAAAACTTAAATCCCTAAGAATTAATCAAGGTGGCTCTGATACCCCTTGTTAGATCTACATCATAAAACTTGAGATCTAAAACCATATAGCCATGATTAATTCAAAGAGATTAACAAAAACAAAAAGAGCGGAAGCTTATACCTGAATCCATAGATTGATCTTGATTTTGGGTTTTGGATCTTCTAACCTTAGGGTTTTCTCTTTAGCCCCGAATTTCTCTCAAGATGGGGGTGAAGAGAATTAGAGAATGTAACCCTAGGTTAGGGACCATAACCCCTTATTTATAGATGTTGTACTTTTATAATTTAGCCCCTCAATAAATTACAATTACAACCTGGTATCTACACATATGACCCCATGATTATATTTAAATACCAAATTAACCCAACTTAATTGATCACTTTAGTGGGTTATCCTGAAAGATAGCAATACACATTGATTAATCATATGTGCCCACAAATAGATTTATTAGATTAAATCCAACAACTAGGACTTGATGTAGGCGTCTAAAAATGCCTATAGGTATCTACACACAGCTCGAGACAGAGAGAAGGCGATGAACGTCATTATCTAAGTCTAAGAGGATTATCCGACGCCGACGAACACATGAAGCGAAAATGACAAACCGAATGACCTGTGCGCTCACCGGCCACCTCCAAGTGGCCCGTACACTCGTCAGCCAGCTCCAAGTGGCCCGCGTGCTCACCGGTCACCACCAGGTGGCCCGCACGCTCATCAGCCACCAAAATCGGTAACCCAAATGGCTCGCGTTGCTCACCGGCATCACCAGTGCCCGCACGCTCAATCACCACCAATCGCGCACACCAATGAACCCGCATACTCATTGGCCACCAAAACAGCTACAAGTCACTGAAACGGAGAATACTGGTAACAGGGACAACAAATCAAAAATCCGAAACTAAGCAAAGCCGCTCGCGCCGATCGCACTCGCAAACGGCTCGCCGAACCAGTGGTTCGACCCATAGCCAGGTCACCAAGGGTGGCTCGGCCAAGACCGAGCCACCATTTGGTGGCTCAGCCAGGCCGAGCCACCATTTGGTGGCTAGGCCAAGGCCGAGCCACCGGGTGACGCTTCGGCCAGATTTGATCTAAAAGTGTGATTTTTCGATTTTCATTGATTCTCTCGGGATTTGTTAGTTCCTGAGCATCCCAACTGATCTGATACTATGGTTAATCAGTTCTTAACTGAAGATAAGGAGGAATCCCTCGTTCTTATCCAAATACCCGTTTCCGAAGCTTATAAACACGAGCTCGGGTGCTCATTTCTCCGGGGCTGAACATCAAGAGGGCGAGGTGCTGCCGGTTTCTCGAGTGCATAGCCATGAATTTCAGAGAGGGTTAGCTAGATCTCAGCGATCTCCTGTGCATAAAGAGTGGAGTTTGAGAGATCTGAGATCCGTCCCCTATTCCTCCGGATTTAAGCTTGGTCTTAAATCTCGAGAAGAGTCGTAATCTCGCTTGGTCGAAATTATCGCTACAGCGATTACTTTCTTCGTGAACTAAGAGCTTTGATCATCAATCTGTCAACCGGATCTGATCCGCGGCGGTCCACGGATATTAACGTCCCCGGCATAGGCAAAGATCCCACGTAAGCAGAAGACCGATAAAGGATCTCTGTGCTATTTGACGAGAATTGTACCCTTTTATTTTCATTGTGTAAAGGTCTTATAAAAAGACCGATCTTTTTAAACTTATTGTAACGATCAAAGTTGTAATGAGTTATACAATGAAGAAAACAATTTTCTCCCCAAACACTTGATATTTCCTCATTAACTGTACTAGTGTGCATCCCGTGCAAAAGCACGACCCCCTATTTTTTTAAGCACTGAATTTTGAACTTGCCTCCCTCTAAGTTTTAATACATCTAATTTAATTATTGTATGCTTAAAATTAGAAATAATATCTACTCCTCTATATTTAAAGAATGATTCAATTTTAATACATTTGATTTAGAAATTATATCTACTCCTCTATACTTAAAGAAAAATCCAAGTTTTAATACATTTGATTTATTTTACTGTTTATGATATAGTAAAATACTATAATATGAATAGTAACTTCAAGTATGGAGGAGCATATTTGATTTACTGTTTATGCTACAATAAAAAATTGTAGCATAAACAGTAACATCGAGAACATAGGAGCAGATTTGATTTACTATTCACACTAAGTATTTCTCTAGCATTTACCGTAGCATGAACAATACTCTTTGGGTTCTTTTTAAGTATAAACTAGTGTGCACCCCGTGCGAAGCACGGCCCCCTATTTTTTAAAGTATTGCATTTTTAACTTACCTCCCTCTAAGTTTTAATATATTTAATTTGATTCTTGTATACTTAAAATTAAAAATCATATTTACTCATCTATACTTAAAGGGCGATCCAATTTTTAATACATTTGATTTAGAAATCATATCTACTCCTTTATACTTAGAGAAAGATTTAAATTTTAATACATCGGATTTGATTTACTATTTATGATACAGTAAAATACTGTAGCACAAGCAGTAACTTCAAAAATATAGTGCCAGTAGATTTTCATCGTGATTTACTGTTCACACAACAATAATTATTGTAACATTACTGTAGCATAAATAGTAATTCTTTGGACCCTCCTATAAGTGTAGAAGAGTGGATATAATATATGTAATTATCGCACATATATCAAAATTTTATATTATTTTGTATAAATAAGATCTGAAATAATCAAATTGGTGATGTATACATATGAATATTTAAATAAAATATAAAATTTTATATTATTTTGTATAGATAAGATCTGAAATAATCAAATTGGTGATGTATACATATGAATATTTTAAATAAATATCTTTTTCATTAGTTCGTAATAATGCATACCATGCGATCAGATGTTACTACTAATACATACCATGCAATCAGATGTTACTACTTTGCTCATTAATCAATAATTTTTTGCAAAACTACTTGTAATGAATAATGTTATGGTGTTTATTCACCCAAGATACGTGTATTTGCAAAGTGATATAATAAGAATACTGGCAAAATGACCTCAACCCACTTAAGTGGCCCAAGCCCAACAGAGGTCTCGATCCCGCCGACTCATCAAGTCGACATTCTTTCATGCCCGACGCGAAAGACGGGATCAGTCGACCTTATCGTTGAGGACGACCCCCTAGGGCACTCGACCATTCACTTGGCAACTCAATGAGACAACTTGATGGACATTCCCTGCTGTTGACTAAGTTGAGGACTCGACCCCTGCCTCAAGCCTTTCTCCTAGAGCATATGTCAGCATTTCAGCCCACCTCGGACAAGTCTTATCCAGATTTTGGTCTGATGGTCTCTATGACTTGTCAGCTGCCCACGTGCCTTCTGCCACGCTCTCAATCACTTCCCGAAAAATGAGGAGACACCCTCTCCCGTGCCGAAGTGACTTTCCCTCCAGTCGCTAGCCGACACCTGTAAAGCGAGTGATGACTCAGCATGCCAGCGTGCTTTCTGCCACGCTCTCAATCACTTTCCGGAAAATACGGAGATATCATCTCTCGTGCCAAAGTGACTTCCTCTCCAATCGCCAGCCGATACCCGTAAAACAAGGGATGGTTCGGCTCTTAGTCCGCACTTAATCACCGCCTCCCTAGGCAGGACTAGGGGGACCTATGAATCCCGACAACGGAGATATATACAGGGAGACTCCTAACATCTGAGAAGAAGAAGACCTAAGAAAAAAGGGCAAGCTAAGGCTTCCTCTCTCTCTCTCTCTCTCTCTCTCTCTGTGTGTGTAAAAGGAAAAAGAACCTATAGTTCTTCATCTAGATGGAGAAGCTCACGTAGATCTTCTGGGCATGCACATTGCCACTTTAAGAACCACAGCGGTTCCTGACCATCCCCTTCCCCACTTGAGTTTCACTAACTTGACCGTCGAATGAACCACGGGGGAACCGGTCCCCGCCTTCTCACGGGTTCTTCTTGTCTGTGCAGCTTGGACATCAAGCCCCGGTTCGAGAACAAGGAATAAAGTCAAAGAAAGGAGCGGCCCCTCCATTACTCTCCCCTACCCTGTCCCGACGAGGACTCAGTGGGGACCGATTCAGTTCCGGATCAGAACCGATCCTAACCCAGATCCGATTGACTGTTTGGTCGTAATCATCAACAAATAATATGATCTAAGTCTATATCCTATATTTGCTTCTATAATTCAATGATTCAATAACATTTTTATGTTTTTTGCTCCTGTAAACAAAGTGCAGAGTCTCTTAATTCTCGTAAAACATCGAAATAGCATCCACACGCATGTTCAATTTCTATCGTCCCCTAAAAGAGTGAAAACGTCCGAACGGCCAGTTTCGCGTCACACATTTTCTAGTCCACTAAACTTTTTCCTTCTCATCAAAGAATCCGAAATAATACCGACGACAAAGACAGAGAGAGAGAGAGAGAGACCACAACTTCATGTCCCCTTCGCACGCTCCCCCCCGGTAAGATGTTTCGCCGGCGTAACGCAGCAGCCATCTATTTTTGACGCGGTCTTCTTCCGACCCTGAGAAAAAGACTTCCCCTTTGCTCGCCAATTGCTGCCATCTCTCTTTCTCCCCCCTCTACAAAAACCCAACAAACAATAACTTTAGAGAGAGGGGGGTTTAAGATAAGAGAGATAATGAGAGTTCGAGGCGCCAGCAGCGAGAGGAGAGTCTCGGCCAAATGGATACTGTTGCTGTGCGTCTCAAGCTTCGGCCTTGGCTTGCTCTTCACCAATAGGTAGGTTTTTCGGCGATGAATCGGGAAATTGAGATCTGGGTTCGTCTAAAGATCAAATTTTGCTTCATGGGCATCGCATTTTCCTTGCATTTACCCTTAATCTAGAGGAAACTGAGATCTGGGTTCATTGATTTGTCAGATGGTATTTTTCTGCTTAGTGCCTAATTGTGTTGTGCGTAATTTGGGCTTAATTCTTTCCTCAATTCAGATAAAATGGGTCTCGTTCCTGGAACCATTAATTGATGAATGTAATTAATACATAGATCTGGGTCCTTCAATAGTCAAACTTCCCTGAATGTGCATTTCTATAATTATAAATTGACACGCCTTAGGTATGTAGGCAATTTCTTAAATTGCATATTGTTGTCGTCTCTTCCATAATTATTGGCTTCTTTTGTTTGAATAGATTCTGGATTCCTCCCGAATCTGATGCACAGACCATTTCAAGGCGGCGACAAGACCAAGAGCTTCAAGTACTATCAGAAGATTGCATGACTAAAAAGGCATTAATCTTTTTCAGATAAATTTGTATTGGCTCTACCATGGTAGACTGTTCTCTGATTATATACATTCTCTTATTGAACATCAGAAGCTTGGTCAGGATAAGGATGGAAATGTAATGGACGAGGTGTCCAAGACCCACAAAGCCATACAGTATGTAGAACACTCCAACAATGCTATATGCTCAAATTTTTACTTATATAGCTGATATAATTTGATTGATATCAGATCATTGGATAAGACAATATCTACACTTCAGATGGAGCTTGCTGCTACTAGGAGCTCTCAAGAGCTGACAGGGATTACTGGTTCTCCACTGATCTCTGGACAGCAGAGGAAAAAGGCTTTTATTGTTATTGGGATAAACACAGCATTCAGTAGCAGGAAGAGGCGAGACTCGGTGAGAGAGACCTGGATGCCTCAAGGTTTCTTAACTGTCCTTTAATGTTTGATTTCTATATACGTTTGAACTTGGTTATAATAATTTAGGTTACCCAATTATATGCTGCGTGTACTTTGCTTTTAGCCTTTGGTACATTTTCTCTCTACTTCGCGATCAAGGGAGAATACATTGTTAATATCAGACTGAAATTCGTGCTTCTATCTGAAATATACAGTAAAAAAGGGGGATTTTTATACCCCTTTATGCTTTATGCTATCAACTTTGAGGTTTAAACCCTGGCTACCCGCAATCTGGTTTCTATAAGTTCTTCACAATTTGTTTATGCAATATTTTAGTTCTTCAGGGTTATGATTAAAAGCTAAACCTAAGGATTCTACATAAATAAACTTTATGTTATCGATATAAATGAACTTGGTTTGAATTGTTCAGCTTCTTTGGTTTCTTATTCTTCTCTTTGTCTAACCATTATATGTTTTTTTAACCATTATGTGTTTTCTTACTCAACCTCTCTTGTTTATTGTATACAGTATGTATTTATGTCTTACCCTTTTTTATGTTGTTAGGTGAGAAGCTCCAACAACTAGAGAAGGAGAAAGGAATTGTCATCCGCTTCATGATTGGCCACAGGTACTTATATCATTCAGACCTGATACATACCTCTTTGTTGTAGAAAAGTATTTATTACTAGTAGCATCTAAATTATTTTCTACAACCGTGTCAAGCTAGTCTGTATTAGAAAAATTGTAGGAGTGAATGTATTCCACTCTCAGTTTTGAGAAACATGTCACTTAGGTGTATTAGAAAAATTGTATGAGTGAATGTATTCCACTCTCAGTATTGAGAAACATGTCACTTAGGTACAAGACTCAAAAACCAAAGAACCAATTATTCATGACAACAGAATAGCTGCCCACTTCTTCCAGGGTCTTCGAAGAAGTCAAACTTTAGAAAAGAAGAAAGTTAATAGAATCACAGAATTTGGGCCTCAGATTTGACTATTTGGTTAACATATGGAATCCATTCCAATGGCGCAGATTGTCATATGAGCTGATTGATATCAGCTCTGTACTTTATGTGCAGCCAGCTTTAACTTGTACATCTAACGAGGCCAAGTTTAGTTGTGCACTTCATGTTAGCCTGCTTTCGGAAAGTAGATAGAGATTCTTAGAGCTTGTAGTCTATCATGTTTTAGCATAGTCGTTTTTTGTGGGGACAGTTAGTTGATGCAAGGGTGATGGTTAAAATAAGATGATTAGGAAGTTCTGATCCATTTCACCGAGAAGTTCTAGTTCTCTATAGTCAGGCAACTGTGATTCATATTGAGCCTATATGATTTATTAGAATATTTTCCATTTTTAATTTGAAATGTTGAATAGATAATAAATTGTCTTAAATATCATATCCCAGAGAAAACTTGGACTACTAGTGACTAATCAAAAGTTGCCAATTGGTAGATGAAGGTATTTACTGGAAAATTTAAGGGGTTTTTTTTCTTTCTTTTTCTCTCCACAGTGCTACTTCCAACAGCATTCTAGACCGAGCAATTGATTCAGAAGAGGCTCAGCACAATGACTTTCTTAGACTGGTAAGAGCTTCTCCCATTTCCACTAAATTTTTGACTTTCGGACTAAAATAGTTAGTCATGTTCCTGATTGCAATTTTGTGTCATCCAGGAACATGTTGAAGGGTACCATGAACTATCTGCCAAAACAAAGACATTCTTTTCCACTGCAATTTCCAAGTGGGATGCAGAGTTTTATGTCAAGGTGGATGATGATGTTCACGTTAACTTAGGTAATTTAATTTTCCAGAGCCACTAGCTCTAATACATATTGAAAGGTCTAACCCTTTGTACATGCATACTTCTTTACCATTTTTACGAATTTTGTGTTCTATTTACCTGGATTGTGTTAAAAAGTTTTATGTTCTGTTAATTTACATGTTTGTATTCTTAGAACAACCGCAATTTAGGCAAAAAGGCTAAACTTGCATTACAGAAAGGAATATGGTTTTGAAACTAAATTAGCCAGCCTATCAACCCAAGGGAATTTTCTCTCACCCAGTTCCCTCGTAGAATTTAGGTTTGAAGTCTCATAAGGCTATGCTGTGATTTCTATATATTTCGTGATTTATAATCCGTGACATCTGTATCGATTATACCAGCAGTTGCCTGTGTTTTAGACTATAGTGTGTAGTAATATGAAGAATTTGGCACGTAAGCGTTAGCCTAACCACACTTTTCAGCTTCCTACTTAAGGCCTAATATTTGTTTCCTATTTTTCTGGGTAGATCGAGGGCCGAAGCCCTAAAGCAAAACAAAATTATTAAAGGTTACAAGCACGGGCTGCAAAAAGCCCCATCGATTCACCAATTCATACTGGTTTAAGGAAATTCGGAGTTATGCAGTCTTTTATGACCTAGCTCTAGACTAAGGGAGTCTCTAGCCAACGGATCTGCACTACGGTTGCCTGCGCCAAATATAATGCAACTTAACCTCCCACTCTTGACGCAACATCTCTTTAATGACACATAATAGGCCTCAATTAAGAGAATATCCTTCAATATTTTCTCCTTTAATTTTTGTATAATCAGGATTTGCGATCCCTGCTCCATTGACAACTAATAGTTTGCTTTGTTTCTAAGTTTTACTCAGGGAACAAACACAAAAAGGAAATAGCATTTTGAAAAACGTGTTAAAACTGTAATTAGTACGGGGATTGCAAGTCAGTATCTTTAAATACCATGATGATTTTGCTGATACTTTATTATTATCATAACAGGTATGTTAGCTGCAACTCTTGCTAGGCACAGATCGAAGCCCAGAGTCTATATTGGGTGTATGAAATCTGGTCCAGTCCTTTCTAACAAGTAAGTTATCTTCTTTTTCTTCTCAATACTGATTATCTTAAAGCATTGGTCCTAACTTCCTTCTGTATATTTGGTTTAATCTATTTGTTTGCCTTCAGGAACGTTAAGTACCATGAGCCCGAATACTGGAAATTTGGAGAAGAAGGAAACAAGTACTTCCGTCATGCAACTGGACAGATTTATGCAATCTCAAAAGATTTAGCCACATACATTTCAATAAACCAGTAAGCTTACTTATAATAATACTGAGGCTCTATTATTCAGATAATACAGCATAATGTTTATTCTAACCATCTTTTTGCAGGCCAATTCTGCACAAGTATGCTAATGAAGACGTCTCATTAGGTGCTTGGTTTATTGGGCTTGAGGTGGAGCATATCGATGAGCGTAACATGTGCTGTGGAACTCCACCAGGTCTTATTTTCTTGTCATTTAATACAATTTCAGTGTTTCACAATGACAGATGGGTTAATATCTGATGAATAATAAAATAGATATAAGTATTCTGCTCTGAACATCAATTAGGTGATGGATTGTAAGTTCTTAAAGCATCCTGTTTACGGAGTGTTGTTCTTTTCTTTCCTCTTTTACCTTTTTGCTTTTTTCAAACTTAAAAATAATTCAAGATCATGTAGTATTACCAAATCTAAGCAAACACATTATTGTTGCATTTTGACTACTCATACACAATGTGATCATACACAACGTGTACGTACCAGGTTGATACTGTTGCAACTAACCCTCTGCGCAGTTAAATTAAGAATTTTAACAAAAATCTAGTCATTCGTGTCTCAAGTGTGTATGTTTTCACTTCATCTCCTTAAGATTTCCAAAATAAAATTTGAAACCAACTGAACTGTGGTATAAGTTACCTGTCGCTCTATGATTACCATTAAGGATTCTGCAAATGACAACTTTAAGACCCATATATGGTATCAGGCCGATCTCTACGCAACTTGCACAATTAAATACAAACCCTAAAATGGACCTAAAAATCTTTGGCTATCTCGAATGAGGATTTTGAAATTACCTGGAAAGCTGAGCGAACAGAAGCTTGCTAATCTGCCTGTGTGTGTTTAGCGTCGCTTTTTAGTTGTGTTCCTTAACTTGTCTATGAATTTGCTTCACCTTTTCTTCTGCTTTTTTTTTTTCCTTGTAGACTGCGAGTGGAAAGCACAAGCAGGAAATGTGTGCATTGCATCATTTGATTGGAGTTGTAGTGGCATCTGCAAGTCAGTGGAAAAAATAAAGGATGTACATGCAAGATGCGGCGAAGGAGATGGAGCTGTTTGGAGCGATCTCTTTCGATAAATGGCAGAGAATTTTCTTTGTATACTCTCGTCTCTGGAGCAATTTTGGCAGTCATATGGCGTTCCAATTCGATATTTGACACATAGAAGACTCCTACACTTCGGCCACGATATTTATCACGAGACCAAAGAGATGTTGATTGTGGTTAGAGAGTTTCTTGATTTTTTTAGGTGTAGATACGAGACTTGAGCTCCCCTTTTCTACACATTGTGTGATATAAAATGTGCCCACAAGTTTTGTGGAGATTTGTATCAGGATACTGGAAAAATTTAACGCGAAAAGAGATTTGCTTTTGCCATTTGTGGAATGGTGAATTGGATGACAATGTTATGTTGGATAATCGTGTAACATACTTTTCGAAATCAACTAAAGCAAGAACACGAATACATACAGAGAGGAACTTATAAATATAAAATTCTCTCTAATCATAAAGGACGGGACAAACATGCTTAACAAGCATATTAATCGCATTTTTTTATTTAAAATTATAAGATACAAAATTTCTGTTTCTCTGCAGGAGAATTTTAACTTTGTCAAGGTTGTTCTTATAATTTAAATCTCCTGGCACATTATTTTGCAATGCATAAAAATCAAGGACAAAAGAAGTAATAAAAACAAAGAATTATCCTAAAACAAATATTTGGACGGGAAAAAAATGCAAGTTTGGAGATGAAGGAAATACAAGTGATTACCACCAACTTAAAACCTTATGACACCTTGATTGATCTATCAAATCCCAACATAAAGCTCATAATAAAACCGTCCCTTTAGCCCATTACAAAATTTATTCGCAAACCTAATTCAACCCCAACGCTATATAGATACAATGCATGCATTTTGTGTTGCATCAGATACAAAACACTTGTGTCATATCTGTATAGTACAGATACATCAAATTCTATATGTATCTATACAGATACATTGCATTGCTGTATACGCAACTATACAAATACAACTCACTATTGTATCTATACCTGTACAGAGATAGCTCACTGCTGAGTGAGCTGTGTACGTTAGGTACAGATACAACACAGCGCTGCATCTGTTCTAGAATCAAAATAGATACATGTATGCATGTTATATCTGAACAGATATAAGCATGTTGTATTTGTTCAAATTCCTTCTCATTTGTTCTTTTAAATAATTCTAATGGTTACATAATGTCATGAGTTTTGTAGAAAAATTCGAAATTAAAAGATAAGATTAATAAGCTACTAAAGCATAATGATGATTTGAAGCTTATTACTGGAGATGATTTTGTAACTAGGGAGTTTAAAAAGAACGTATATTACAATTTTGAAGGAGCAGACGGTGATTCGATTGATCTTGATGCATCCATCCATGCAGCTGTGTCCCCTGTTCAGGTCAGATCATATCCATTAAAGCTTACATAAATAGAAAGGATAAAATACCAATGCAAGTGATAGGACTGAAAATTTATCATCTGCAAACAAGCGTCGGGGTGCACACCATGAAGATCATAGAGTGATGACTAATTTTCTCGATAGAGTGGGTAAAATTTCATGTGCTCTTAAAATTTTCAATCAACTTTGGAGTGAAATATTAGCTGAAAGTGTTTATGCTCTTCATCAATTCTCGCATCGTGTTTTAAACCATGCGTTTGAGCTTCTACACGACAATGAGAGGGAAGCTAAGCGATTCATAGCGAAACCATTGGATGAATAGCCACACGATGGAGCATGGTTTAAATACTAATATAGATGTTGAGGACGCCATTGAAAGTCTTCAAATGAGGCATGAGGTTGTAAGACTTATTAGTGCTATTGTTGTTAGTTTATGGGTGTTTATGACTAAATGGTATGTTTTGGTTTGATCTCCTTCTTTGCTGTAGGTTGAGTTGTTTCGCTTTGTCTGAGTACGTGTTTTAGTATTTTGTTATGGGAATTTGCCTGTGTTTGTTGCTTATCTATGTAAGGCTTTTAAACTTAAATTAGGTAGATGTTTAATCTTAAGCTTCTGACCTTGAAATGTCAACAACATATATACGGCGGATCTTAGGGACTTGAATATTTGAACTGATATCAATTTGCAATGAGTATTGTTTGATTCTCCTTTGAATTACTTTAATGACGTTATTAGAGTGTGTGTTTTTTATTGAGATTTGTTATTAAATGGAGGAAACTCTAACCGCATGTGTTTCATTTGAGTTCATACTACTTGTGATTTTTTCCCCCCTTTGTTGAATAAATTAAAGGAAAGGGAGGAGAAATTTGCATTATTGTACTTCTCAGTGTCTTGGTATAGGCTTGAGGAGATGAGCAAAGTCAAAATTAATCCGAGAGAGAGCGGCATTATTTTGGATCTAGTTATGAATTACATGCTAACGCGAGTGAAACAAATTCCTTTTCTCTTCTCATGGTATATTTTGAGATTAGATGACATTTTAATAGAGTATAATGATCACAAGGATTGGTTCGTAGATTTTTTTGTCTTTTATCTTTTATGAAGGATAATTTTACCTATAATAATTTTATCCATTTGAGTGGGGTGTACATAACTATCACTTTACGATATCTTACTATTCAAACCAAACAACAGTCCACTTTCTAACTTGTGTCATAAATGCACAAGCTTATCGATGACGACCAAAGGCCCTAACAAAATATGTTCTAGTTACAAAAATCACAATCAAGATGTCTGACCACGTTCGTTGCAAGTGGATCCTAATTAGTAGTAATAATAATGGACAAATTTTCAAAAACAATCCGATTAGTAATTTAATCTCAAAAAAACGACCTATTTAGAAATTATTTACCAAATTCGATCCAGTTTCAGCCAATTGGCTGAAACTGGGTCAAATTTGGTAAAAAAATTACAAAACTTCACGAGTGAAGTTTAAGCGTCAGATAATCAAGTTTAAGGTGGGTTTAAACTTCACGGGACTTGAAGTCACGTGAAATTTTATAGTTTTTTTTACCAAATTCGACCCAGTTTCAGCCAACTGACTGAAACTGAGTCGAATTTGGTAAAATATTTTTCAAATAGGTCGTTCTTTGAGAATAAGTTTCAGAATTGGGCTAAATTGAAAATTTGTCCTAATAATAACAAGGGAAAAATGCTTCCAGCCCCCAAAACTAATGAAAACAAGCTTCCCCCTCCCAAGACTTTTTCAACGTGTGTTTTACCCCCAAAAGTAAACTCTGTGTTCTCTGAGCCCCCAAAACACAAAACCCAAGAAATTAAGATACGTGAAGACCATAATACCCTCCATTGTCACATCCTCCTTCCTCTCCAAACCTAACCACCGCAACCTCCTCTCTTTCTCCTCCTTCCATGGCCTCAAGCTCATCTCCGCCTTCAAAACCCAATCTTTCTCCTCCCTATCATTGTCATCCTCCGCCCCCAAATCTCCACATCCTACGACCTCTCCTCCATCTGCTTCCGCCCCATCAAAGAATCCATCGTCTCCCGCGAGATGACCCGCCGCTACATGTCCGACATAATCACCTACGCTAACACCGTCGGCGGCGGCGGCGGTGGCGGTGGCGGCGAATCCGTCGGCCTCTCCTGCGCCTACGAGCTCTCCAAGAACCCCGACATCAACGTCGCCATCATCGAGCAGTCCGTCTCCCCGGCATTGACGATCTGATTTCTTCCTCCATCTAGAGAGCGTCGAGTTTGTACAGAAAGTGAAGCGTATCGCTGACAAATACTGGGATCTCTACTCTCAGGAACGCGATCTCCCTGGACATTTACTTAGCTATCCCATTGGAGTAAGCAGTGAAGGAGTTGTTACAGAGCTCCCAAGGACGGAGTTTTTCCCCGATACAAAGGCTCGTGTTATTTGAACCAAGTCTGATTACATGCCCCCCATCCTCACCACTTAGGTAGCATTTGTCTTGTTTCTTTGCTTCAGGTTGTTTTTACTAAATAATAGTGTTATTGTATGTGGGAATAAAAAAAGAGTATCTTTGATTGTGGGTTGTAGTTTGTTGTTGGTGTTCTTTGATGGATGCGAATTAATTTATGCGTGTGTGAGGTTTTAGTATTGAGATATGTTTTCCTTTATGGCATAAATAGAATCTATGTTAAGCCTGAAGTTTGATTATTTGTCTCCTATTGTGTTTTGTTAAGGTTTGTCGTCGGTTGTTAAGATTAGTGGTCGGTTGTTAAGGTTACGGATTTGTTGTTAAGGTTACGTGTTTGTTGTTAAGGTTACACGTTGGGATTTATATGTATATATATTTTGGTTGTTAAGATTACACTTTTGTTGTTAAGGTTACGCGTTTGTTGTCAAGGTTACGGGTTTGTTGTCAAGGTTAATTTCACAACTAATTAGAATATTCGTTGTTAAGGATAAGGGTTGGTTGTTAAGGTTACGCGTTTGTTGTCAAGGTTACGGGTTTGTTGTCAAGGTTAATTTCACAACTAATTAGAATATTCGTTGTTAAGGATAAGGGTTGGTTGTTAAGGTTACGCGTTTGTTGTCAAGGTTACGGGTTTGTTGTCAAGGTTAATTTCACAACTAATTAGAATATTCGTTGTTAAGAATAATGGTTGGTTGTTAAGGTTATGCGTTTGTTGTCAAGGTTACGGGTTTGTTGTTAAGGTTAATTTTACAACTAATTAGAATATTCGTTGTTAAGGTTACGCGTTTGTTGTCAAGGTTACGGGTTTGTTGTCAAGGTTACGCGTTTGTTGTTAATGTTACATGTTTATTGTGAAATTAACCTTGACAATCAACCCGTAACCTTGACAACCAAACCCGTAACATTAACAACAAACCCGTAATCTAAACAACAAACACGTAACCTTGGCAACAAGGCTCTTAGGCTCTTAGCAATAAGGTTACCCGTAACCCGGAATAAGGTTTGTAGAATATCGTAGCCATCATCAGTTCCATGCAAAAATTTCTTAACAATCAACCCGTAACCATAACAAGCAACCCGTAACCTTAACAACCAACACGTAACCTTAACAAGCAACACGTAACCTTAACAAGCGACGCGTAACCTTCACAACCAACGCGTAAATCACTTGGCTTTTGAAAATCTCATTAAAAGTGAAATATTATTATAATTTCCCTAAAAATTAAAAGTGAAATATTCATTTTCTAAAAATATATTGTTATATATGTTTCCGAATCTTACAAAAAATCAGTAAGAAAAAAGAAAATTACCAACAATTAACCCTTCAAAAAACAAAAAAAACAAGATTAAAATCACTAACAGGACCCACTTCCTTCTTCCACCTCCTCAATTAACCCTTCAAAAAATAAAAAAAATATTAAAATCACTAACATGACCCACTTCCTTCTTGCACCTCCTCAATCTCAAA